TATTATAGCTTCTTTCAAGTCATCTTTGCATCGAAATGCTCGGTCACTAATTTTTCTGTCCAAAATATACCACACATTTTCTATTGGATTCAAGTCCAGACTTTGAGACTGCCATTCCAAAACATTGATGTTATTTGTATTAAAGTATATCTTCTTTTTCTCAATTGTTAAGAAGTATAATTTGATTGGAACCATTGCTAGTGTGGCAATGGTTTATTTTTGTAGTTCAAAATTGTTGAGGAAAAAAGCACAAGACCACCAGTGCAATTAATAGCAATATCATCATTAATGTGAAGATAAATAGATTTGCTTTGGCAGCTAAATTAGCTTTAAAGATTCAAGAAGATCACAACTTTGACTCCTCAAACAATCAGAAATCATATTAGAAAACAAGGATATAAAGGCAGAATAGTTTGAAAAAAACCTTTTTTAACTTTAAAAAAAATGAAACTTTTGGAAATTGAAAAGAAGTATGAAAAAATGCTGATATCATATTGGAAAAAAATTATATGGTCAGATGAGTCAAAATACAATCTCATCTCATTAGATGGAGTCCAGAAAGTGTAGAGAAGTTTATAAATTGAGTTATTTGTGAGCAAGTGTAAAGTATAGAGGAGGATGTGATGGTTTTAATTAGTATGAGTTGGAAAGGAGTTAGGAAATTTACATTTATTGATGATAAAATAAATGCTTCAATGTCTTTGGCTTCAATGTCAATGGCTTCAATGTCGTGAAATTCTCAAAGCCAACTTGAAACCATCCACTTAAAAATTAAGAATGGGAAACAATTTAATACTCCAGCAGGATAACAACTCAAAACATACCGATAAAAAAACGAAGGTATACTTTGACACAAATAACATCAATGTTTTGGAATGGCCATCTCAAAGTCTTGTTCGCTGATGATACTACCATTTATTCTTGTCATGATAAGAAGCCAGCACTCACTGATTGTTTGGAGGGGGCATTTGAGCTTGAAAAGGATCTCACTTCTGCTACTGCATGGGGCTCACAGTGGCTGGTGAACTTTAATTCAGATAAAGCTCAATTTTTTTCAGCCAATCGTTATCACAATAATTTAGATCTTTCTATATTTATGAACAAAATGTACTCAATGAGTCATCTACCCTTTATCTTCTAGGATTAACTCTTACTTCCGAGCTTTCTTGGAAACCATATATCAAATTTGTTGCAAAATTAGCATCTGCTCAGATTGCATCTTTTTATTGAGCTCGACACTTTCGTACTTCGGATATTCTCTATCTCTATAAATCTCAAATCCGTCCTTGTATGGAATACTGGGGAGGTCCTTCTAATGACGCCCTTTCTCTCTTAGACAAGGTGCAAAAATGCATTGTTAATATAGTTGGACCTGCTCTTGCAGCCAAATTTCTACCATTATCACATTGTTGTAATGTTGCTTCTCTTTCTCTTTTCTACAAATACTATAATGGGCACTGCTCTAAAGAGCTAGCGTCTCTTGTGCCATCTATTAAAATTCATTCTCGTGTTACTCGCCATTCAATTCTCATCCTTTCAATTCTCATCCTGTTACTCGCCATTCAAGTCTCATCCTTTTTCTGTGACTGTTCCTAAGTGCTCCAAAAACTCTTATTAGTCTAGTTTTTTCCCTCAAACAACAGTTCTTTGGAATTCGCTTCCTTCTTCTCACTTTCCTGATTTATATAATTTGCAATCTTTTAAGTTATCTGTCGATCGTTATCTTGCTCTACAATCTATATCTTTTCTCTTCTAGTAACTTCCAACTCTAATTAGTGGTTGCTTGCAGCCTCGTTGAAAGTGAAGATGTTTAAATAAAAAAAAAAAAGACATTTTTCTTTTAAGTGGAGATGCATATAAATAAGAGAGTTTTTATCCCTTCTATAGTGTTTGATCATTCATGTCTTTAAGTGGCAAGAGGTTTTACCAATATAACAGGATTTACAGTTTGTGCAGGATGTAAATCCTGTTATATTGGCAAAACTTCTGACTACTTAAAGATATGAATGATTGAACACTACAGAAATAAATTTTAATCTAATCTAATCATTTTTATAAAATATAAAAATTGTTATAAAAAAAAACTGATCCAAATTGAAGTGAGGCTTTTAAGGAATTTATAATAATATTTGTCAATAATTATAATTATTATTATTACTAATATTATTATCTTATAATATTAAATCTAATGCTGCCGCCTTAATCATTTGTGTTTGTTTGACATGTAACTTATGACAGCCATTACACCTGAGATTTTTTTTTCCAAATTTAATTAATTTCCCCAAGGCTGAGAAGGCCACTGCAGATGAGGAGGCCACTTAATTGTGGCTACAACTCTCTCAACTCTATAACTCTGAAACACGAACCTCAACAAACAAGGCCGCTGAATGGAGAAACAAGTTGAGTGCGATACTACCAGGGATTTGGTGGGAGTCGCAGCACTTTATTTTATAAGAAAATCTAACCAATAGTGTATGCAAATGTCAAACTTATGTAAACCTAAAAATATGTTATGTAAAAAATTATATTAAGTTTACTTCTACTTGCAGCAATATCTTCTTAATTTTAATTCATAGCATTTATTTGTTGCTTTTTATAGTTTTTTGCTTAATAAATAATGTCAAAAGCTATTAATATAGTATATGCCTGAGTGGCCCAATTGGTTAACTCGAAAGTGCATTGCAGGAGTTCAAATCCTTTTGACTGCACATTTAATTTTTTTTTTTTTTAATTTTTTCAAATTTTATAAAATACAAAATAAAATATTTTTAAAGTTCTATAGATATTTTATAAATAACATACATAAAGATATTATATATAACAAAGGAAAGAAAGAGATTTTTTAAAAAAGCTTAAAATTTCTAAAAACATCTAAATACCAGGAAAAATTTGTCGCACATAAGTCATGATAGAGATACTTATGTTATTAATGTGCTTAGGTTATTAGTTAAGTCTGCATGTTAAATACACATTAAAGAATAAGTATAGAAATAGTTGGTGTGAAATAGACTTACCGTGACCTGTGTTATATGGGTCATGATAAATCCTTTATTCTACATATTTTTAAGTCTATTTATACATGTTTTTTAAACTTTTTTTCATACCAATTGTAAATAATCAACACATTTCAAGTGGGCATTCTAAATATTATTTAGACTAGTACTAACATCCGAACCCCTAATAAATAGCCTTTTACACAACGGCTACTGAAGTATTTTAAATTTTTTAAAAAGTTTTTAAATTTAATTTGAGACAAAATTTGCTTTTAGCCTAGTTAACTCACAGAATAAATACTTTATCTAAATGTTTAGCAAAAAGTCACTATGTAATTCTATGTTTGCAATTAAATTTTCCGCTTTAAAAAAGTTTTATGGAATATATACTATACCAGGGTTTGTAATCAAAATGCAAATCTTTATCTGCACTTTTTAGTCTTGGAGCACAAAAATATTTAGAGCTTTAGATCTCCATAATAAAAAATTGCAGAACTTTAAAAGTCCTGGAATCTGCATTCAAACTCATTTTAACTCATTTGTAATAGTTTAACCAAAGACTTTTTGCTATAAGTTTTTTATAATGTTCAATAGTTGCTAAATATTTTTGGAGCTTCTGAGCTTAAATATTCAGCTCCAGAACAAAAGAACTCAAAAAAAAAAAAAGAAATATTTAACTTAAAATTGTAGTGTGCTTTTAGGGTCATTTCATCCTGGCCTAAAGTTTCTCTTTTTTGTTAAACATTAATTAGTAATAATATTTGTAATATTTTGCTAAAATGTTATTTTTCATCAAGTTAAATAATTTAAACAAAAAAGCTTTGTGTTATTTTTATACATTACAATTGTTTATTTTAATACATGTGCATATGTGCATGTGTACATGTTTATCTCTTTCAGCATAAGTGTACATGATATTTATATGTCTAGGTATTAACATATTTATTCATGGCCATATTAGGGCATCCCTCACCACCCTCACAGGATCTCTTACAATGTTGAAAATATAAATTATAAATATTTTGCTAAAATGTTATTTTTCATCAAATTACATAGTTTAAACAAAATAGCTCGACAGTTTTCAAAGTGAAAGTAAAATTTTGTTGTTATTTTTATTACAGAAAAAGGACTAGGATCCACATTGGTATGTTTATATGATCTTTAGTTTCAGTTTACTAAAAAGTAACCTGAACATAAAAACTTAGTGATGTGCTTCTTCTTTTATTACAAGTCTGTGTAATATACACTTAAACGCTAATTATATTCAATTTAAATATATAGCATAGCTAGCTTATTTGAGGTCCTGCAATACTAACACTTTAGACTTTTAAAGCTTGTGTTTGTTTGTCAAAACTAAGGTCTTACTAGTTTATTAGTTGCCAAAGTTGTTAAAGCAACTGTTATGGTTTCTTTTTTCGGCCAGCTTTAGTTTATTATTCTATTTTTTGAAATAAACTTTTATCAGCCTCCTTTCCTCTAACATTTTTTACTTCGTTCTCTAGTTCATCTTTCTTCATTTTACCTACCTTTATATAATCTCCCTAGCGTTAGCTTCTCTTGCTTTAGCCTCATATATCATTTAACTTTAGTCCTTGTGATCATCCTTTTTTTATAATAAATTGTTGGCTCGGGATGCAATTGTCGTATCGCAAATTTATTAAAATTATATATAAATATGTAATAACGTAGTTTATGTAAATTTAAAGTTATGTAAATGTAAAAAACTATTTAATATAAATTATTTAATATAACGTTTAAAAAAAAAAAAAATCATTAATATGGTGTTAAATTTACATATATTAGATATTTACATATTTATATATAACTTTAATAAATTTGATACAACAATTGCATCCCGAGCCGACAAAATATCTATTTTTCAGTTATTACTTTGTTAAAGTTATTACTTTGCATTTTTGTTGGTTTTTTGATTGCATTGTCATGTTATTTTTGTTAATTACATTGTTGTTATATTGTTTTAAAATTTTTTTTATTTTTTAACAATAGGCTATTGCGGCTGATGTTTTACGAAATAACAGTAACAAAAGTATTGAAGTTCTTGTGGATATTTTAAATTCGATTATTGGATGTCACAAAATGAAAGTTCCAAGTAGGGTTTTGACCAATCATAGAGTCCTTGGTAATAATAATCACTTTCAGCCTTCTTTTTTACAAACTTTACAAAACAAGTATGCCTCAAACAGTCGATACTATCCTTCAAATGATTTAACTAGGAAAGGAATGCAGTATAAAGATTTATCTCCCACCAATTTTACCAATAATTTGCCATTTGAACATTTTTCTAATGTTCAAAGCCAATGCAAATACCCTCGAGAAACAGACCATGCTCAGCGATATCAGTCTAGTGTTTTTGTGAGTGCTCACAATCTTTACCATCAAGATATGCCAGATGATTCTTATTTACAAAACTTGGGAGCAGAAAATTTTGGTCGGCCAAGTGTTGTTACCATGAGGCAAAAGAAAACAGATAAGCAATTCAATCCTCAAAATCGCTGGTCAGCTGATGTTTTACAAACATATGAAATTGAAAATGTTCCCAACAAACCACCGCCTCCTTATCCAGGATTGTTAAAACGACCATCTCTTCCAGACAATTTTTCAGTAACTAATATCTCAGACGCATTAGAAAATGTTCGAACTGGAGTTGATTTACCTACATATAATGGATATACAAAAAACTCAAATCATTTATCTACCACACAGGGAAGAAATATTATCAATTCTCCTCATAACATACAGGCAGTGCATGTTTTTGGAACTCCAACAAAAATGGATTCTAACTTTTCTCCTATAGTTGAATCTGTCATTCCTCGTCGTTCGCCTCCTCCTTATTCAGCAGGTGGATCGCAAAGATCAAGTAAATGTAATTCTCTTAATATAGAAGAATTAGAAAATAGTTTGTTGTACACATTTTCAAGTTTAGATGACAGAAATTTTAATAAGGAAGATGTAGAGTCAAACCTAGGTGACTCTTCACCAACCTTTTTATCCAATTCTGATAATACTGAGCGTTTTGATGGTGTCAAGCGTTCTTACTCCCCTCTGCCAGAATGCTCAAACTCACCATATGTTACAATGATTGTAAGGAAAGATCATGAAAAAGAAAGTGCAATTGAAGAAAATGAAAATCAGCATGAAAATGCAAGTTTGCGCTTAAAGAATTACACACCACAAGCCTGTAAATTCTATCTAGAACAGCATTTTGAAAATTTACTTAAAAGACAAGAGCAGCGTGAGGTTAGACGCAAACAACTTGAAGATGAGATGTCTAGAGTTGGTCTACCATTACAAGACCAAGAGCAAATGAGAAAGTTACTTAGACAAAAAGAATCAAATTATATACGCTTACGAAGAGCTAAGATGGATAAAACTATGTTTACAAAGATAAAAATTATTGGAATTGGCGCATTTGGTGAAGTTAGTCTTGTACGTAAAAATGGAACTGAGGCCTATTATGCTATGAAAACTTTAAGAAAAAGTGAAGTTGTTCGCAGAAATCAAGTTGCTCATGTCAAGGCAGAAAGAGATATATTGGCTGAGGCTGATAATGAATGGGTAGTAAAACTTTATTACTCTTTTCAAGATACTAATAACTTATATTTTGTGATGGATTATGTACCTGGGGGTGATTTAATGGCTCTTTTAATCAAACGAGGTATTTTTGAAGACAATTTAGCTCGTTTTTATATTGGAGAGTTAGTACTTGCAATTGAATCAGTTCACAAATTAGGTTTTATTCATAGAGACATCAAACCTGATAATGTTTTAATTGACAGATATGGTCATATTAAGTTAACTGACTTTGGCCTGTGTACTGGTTTCCATTGGACTCATGATTCAAAATATTATCAGCCTGAGCAAGCTCTTGAAAATCATTCACGACAGTTTTCAATGGAACCTGAGGGAGGTTGGGATTCTTTAGTTGAAGAGGGTAACTGTGGTTGTAAAAGTAGTGAACGTCTTGATAATGATTTATATGAGCCATTACAACGTAGAAACATGCGTCGGCATATGAGGTGTCAGGCACATTCTTTAGTAGGCACACCAAATTATATAGCTCCTGAAGTTTTGATGCGCATTCCATACTCACAACAATGTGATTGGTGGTCTGTTGGTGTTATTCTTTATGAAATGCTTATTGGCCATCCTCCATTTATGGCTCGCACTCCAGCTGAGATTCAATTAAAGGTAAATATTTTTTATTTCAGTTTAGTTATCGTTGCATTTTTTTCTGCAAATGCACAAAATGCTTTAAAAAACAAAGTTTCAAGTTTCATGAAAATATCACTCAAGATTGTAAACACTATAAATAGAATTGTTCAAAGGTTAAAGACATCCATTCATATGCTTATGCCAGTTAACTCTTATGTCAGTGTTTGCAAAAAAAAAAAAAAATGCAACCTTAATCTAGCTCTTGCTTTTTTTGTTTATTGTCTAAATTGTCTATAGTGTGTCGCAACTAAAATTCAAACTTTGAAAGTATCTCTTAAATTATCAATTTTATTAATTTAAAAAGTATAATAGCAAAAAACTTGTATTTTACATAATTATAAACAAATTATTAATTTATCAGTCTATTTTAAGTAAACTTGGTCAACTCTTGTGAACATACTCGCCCCAAGCCTATGTATACAATTTTGGTTGATTTTTTTTTCATACAATAGTCGATTTGAATTTTTTGTTGGAAAAGATTTCTAGCTTGCCTAATATCTGCATACACCAATTTAATAATTTCAGTCTGAAAATTCTATACAGGCACATTAGCAGGGTTTTTGTCTCTCAGCACATATTCAATGTTTTTGCATTTTAAGTAATCTTGAACTTTGTTTGAATAATGTGTGTAAGTTACACTATTAAAAAAATTTGCGTTAATTTGCAGAAATTATCCTACAACTAGATTTGCCACACTTTTCCGTAATTTTACAAAACCCACCACGTGTAAAATGAAATTCTTTTAAATATATGATTATTTCTGTTAAAAGTCAATGAATTTTTTATGTTAAACAACGAAAATTTGTGGCAAATCTAGCTGCCAGATGATTTCTTTAAATAAACAAATAATTCTGCTTTAACTTTATGGGATTTTTTCTGTTAAAAAGCGGGAATGTTTTGGCAAATCAGTTTCTGTTAATAAAAGAAATATTTTCATTAATTTTCTAATAATTCAAGAATGTTGAAAGTTTATTTTCAGAAACCATTTTTCAATAACATGCAATCCATGTAAAATGGATTGCTTGAAGTCGAAAATATTATTTTCAAATGATTTTTTCAAAATAATAACAAATTTTACATAAAATTATAAAATTTTCAAATGATATTATATTATTACTATATTTATATATTATATATTATTGATATTGATTCGAAATTTAATTTTAAGTAATATTTATTGTTTTAACAAAATACTAATAATTCAAGCCAAATATACAATCTTTTATTTATTTTCTCATTTTGAATCAACTAAAATCTGAAACAAAAACAAACCCACATAAGTTTAAAATAATTTTTTTTTTTAATATTTTAAACAGTAATAAATTATAAAAATTTTTTTCAATATGTGCAATGATTAGTTATCTTGAAATCATTAAGGGCTGTTCAAAAAAAACTTGACTTTTGTGGTGTTTTAATCAACTCCCTCCCTCTTGTATGTGATGTGACATTCTCAAAGAAAATATATTAATGCTAGCAATCTTTAGTTAGCGATTTAAGCTAAATATGCCCTGATGCAAATTTAAATATAAAATTTTTTATCATGTTGAACCAACCCCTCCCCTATGTGGTATTTAGTGACACTTTTCAATACCCTTTCCCCCTCACATAATATTTGAACAGCTCTTACTCCAAATGATGTCATAAAGTACCTTTAACATGATGTCATAAAGTACCTTTAACATGATGTCATAAAGTACCTTTAACATGATGTCATAAAGTACCTTTAACATAGACATATATAAACAGAAAAGTTATGTGTTTGCCATTATTATACCATAAAATTTAATCTTGTATGTGTCAGTTACATACAATCTTTAAAGTGAATTGTATAAAGCCCTTTTTTCTTTTAATTTTGTTTCATTCCATGATTTACAAATCTGTTCGACAGGGTTATGATTGAAAAAGATAATAATATGATAAAAAAAGACTGCAGGCATCAGATAGCAGTGGTCCTAAATTTGAAATAAATGTTATACTTGCATATATTGATAAATGATAAAAAACGTTTTAGCAATAACTAATAACTAAGATTATCTTGTTTAATCATTCTAGTTGAATGTAAAGCAGGTAATAAGTTTTATGTAGCTGGTAAATCTTAAATTTCCATTTATCTAAGAAAAATCAAAAAAACATAGTATCAGCTAATTCATATATATTAGTCTATAAAGATTAAAAATAAACAAATAAAGTAAAAAAAAAAAAATAAAACAATTAAAATACCGTTATTGATTTATTCTGTAACATGCAAATTAAGAAAAAGTATAAAACTCTGTTATGACTCTATTAACAATCTCTCTTACTAATCAACTTAACACTTTTAAAAAATAATTTTTTTTCTTGTATCTATAAAAAATATTTACTTTTACAAATTATTTAAACTTAACATAAAGCAATTTCAAAAAGCAAATTTAAAATTTAATTAAAATACATTCCAAGTTCCAATCTTTATCAAGCTAACAAAATATAAAAATCATAATTATATAAAAAGAAAAAACTTATAACAGAAAATTAATAATTTATAATCGAAATAACTTTTACCTATCTACTCCATTATCATCATTAAAAAAAAATATGAAATCCTTTTTATCATTTTTAAAAAAGTTAATTTTTGTATTCTTGCTGAAGCTAAAAATAATTAAAAAACAAAGTACTATACCTCTCTTAAATAGTTTATTTTTGTCGCTAAATACAGAATAATTATTTCTATAGACTATATTAAAATAACGTTATATATTTAAAAAGTATAAAGCAGTTTTGCAATTAAAAATTTTTTATTTTATTTTTGTTTTAAATTTAAATGAACTTATGATGAATTCAAAACCAATCTAATAAAGATGTCTTAAATCAAAAAAATATAATTTTTATAACTAACTTATTAACTCTTTCACCTTAGTGTGCTTTCTTGTCTAAATATAACAAATATAAGCATAAAAATAATATATACTTTATAATAGATACGGCCCTCAGAATTAGGGTAAGCATTCGGCAATGCCGACTTGACTGATGACCTGAAAATGTTTGAGGTTGCAAAAAATTCCCCACCTCGTTTCTATGTTTTATTGTAACCCCTTTATGTCAATTTTTTATGACAACCTGATGCCAACCTTTAACAGTTTTAGTTCTATCATTTTATCTAAATATAGACATATTTAAAATTGAAACTATTAGTTTACCTTAAATCCTCATAATTGTCATTGAAACAATCTTGAAAAAAAAGTGTTTATTTCATATTTATACTAAAATATAAATAAAATCAAGACAATAAAATCAGTTCATGTGAAGATAAAATATTGACAAGTAAAACAAACAGAAATACCATAAAACTGACCAAAACAGAGTATCTAATCTTATCTAAATATAATTTTCATAAATACATATTCATATTTCACTTGAGTACAAAAACATCATATAATATGAAGTTAATCATATATATTCTAAAAATAAATTTTCACAGATATTTACGATAAATTATATATTACAGATGAATAATAATGAAATACTAATACCAAGTAAACACCTTATACAATAATATAATTAATCATACTAATAATGATAATAATAAAAATAATTATTATAATAAAACAATTATAATGAAAATAATAACATTAATAATATTAATAAGAAGGAAAGTATAGAACACTACAGCAAATTTTGTGTATAGAAAAAAAAAAAAAGGAATAAATTTAAACATAAAATGTTATAGGGTAAACTGTGATATAATGGGGTCATCAAAAAAAAAAAAAGTCATCAAAAAACTGGCAGAAAAATTAAAATAAAAGCAATTTTTTTTTTAAATGACAAAATACAACACAAACTACTATCTGACAAAAAAAAAAATCAATAGCATTTAAAAAAAAATTATTTAATATTAAAAATAAAAATCAATTTTCCCCATGCTAGGGCAAATTGGGATATACAATGTAACAATAAAATATGTTGTAGACTTTATTCAATGTTTAGGCAAAGTTCACAAGTAAAACTTGGCCTTTTATCTTTTTCTTCTAAACTATCACTCAAGTAATGTGCCCAGCTGTGGCAATCACTACAAGAAACCCAATTTTCAACACTAGTAGTAATTTTCTTTACAGTAGAGACAGGGAGTGTCTTCTTCTGAATTTTTCACCATTTTCTTTGTTTTGGATGCAGCGTTTAGTCCATCTACTTCAGTATTTTCGTTATTTTTTATGCCATTTTTGTTTGTCATTTTAAGTCTTTTTCTTTTTTTTTTTTGATGGATTTCACTCATTTTTACTCAGGATGTCTAATAATGAGGCTCTATATAGAGAGGAGGTCAGGATTGCAGTTTTTTCCTCTCTGCCTTGGTAGTCTCAGATTGCTGCTAAAAGCAGATATTTAGGTACCATTCCATGGTTGGTACTTACAGATGAATGGCTGAGAGAAGCACAGAGGTGGCTAATAATAATCATGTCACATGTATCAGCAACAGGGTTTGTTTCAATGAAATTAATAACAGTAGTTTCCAGCTGAGCCAAAAAGTACAGCTATTTGATATATAAATTGAGTGATCATGCGCCCTATTTGTTCTCGACCATTTCCTGATGTTGCGGTCATAGTAAGTGCTAAGTAGCTTCAGAAAAGCCAAACCCAAGGGCTGCATTTGATGTGTGTAATGAGGAGGCAAACACAGAAGAATTACACCATTCTCTCTTGCGATGTTAACCATTTCAATACTTTTAGTGTGAGATTTACCAAAGATTCTTAACCAAACAATAAAAAATTATTTTTGCATCCACCTGCTTGAGTGACATTCTGCCCAGACACCTGGTGGTGCTCCATCCATTAATTCTGGCTTCATTCATATTTGAGGAAAGATCATCATGGGCGGCATGTACCTCCTACTTGCTGAAGAGCAAATAACTGCTGTGACAAGCATAACGAACCATGACGTAATATTAAATATGCGCGCGTATGAACAGTGAAGATGTCTATTACGAAAAAGGTTTGCATAAATATTA